AAAAAAATTGTGTTACATTTAAACCGCCGTGCTAGCACAAAAAAATTTGTTTCCGAGTGGAGAGAGAACGAAATTAGTCGAGAAATGCAAGAAACGTTTTACAGTCGACTTTCGCCAGAGCCTTGAAGGTGAATGTGGTGGCCGGCGGGGGTAGCGCCGAGCGTAAACGAAGTACACCGGACGCGACCGAATATCCCCGCCTGCACTACACCAGTCCCAGCCAGAGTCAATGTCGCCTGCAAGTAAATATATCTGCTTTTATCCACTCGGTTCAAACTTACACACGGAAGAAATTTAGTACACTGAAAAAAAATTTATTTGATTCAAATACTTTAAATTATTTGAAAAATATTTAATTGGTTCAAATACTTTTTATTTGGATAAAAAAAATATGTATTTGATTCAAATAACTTGAATTATTTGAATCGCATTTATTTGAACCAAATAAATCGTATTTGGTTCAATTAAATAATTAATTGAATTGAATAAATGGATTTATTTAATAAAAATAATGAGTTACTTGAAACTATTCATTAATTTACTTCACTCAAATATTTCGTTTATTTGGTACAAATAAAAAGTATTTGACACAATAAATTTATGTAATTGATTCAAATAAACTGAATTATTTAATACAAATAATTCGTTATTTAATCCTAATACACTATTTTATTAAGACAAATAAAAAAATATTTCAATCAATTAATTTATTTATTTCACTCAAATATTTCATTTTTTTGATACAAATAAAAAGTATTTGATACAATAAATTTATTAATTCTAATTAATTAAATTATTTAATATAAATAATGCGTTATTTAAATAATACACTATTTTATTGAAGGAAAATAAAATATTTTGATAAATTAAATATTTAAGTGTAATGAGAGTAATCAGTTATTTGATACCTACTATTCATTTATTTATATATATATTATTTAATAATATTCGAAGTCCAAAAGTCAAATATTTTTTCATCTACAAAAAATTAATATTTACAATGATTCAGAACAACGAAAAACGCATTTTTAATAAAAATATATTTACACTTTTTTTTGAAAATTCACCTGGGATGATTCATGATAATAATCATGAAACATATAATTAATTATATTTTATAAATTGCATTTAATTGGAAAATATAATTTAATATCTTAACTTTAACTTAATGATGCCAAGCACTTTTCTGAGTTAGGTATTTTGCAAGTTCAAATGACATCAAGAAGTTAACATTCGTTTTCACGTACCGTGCGTAGCGTAGTTGGTAAAGCGTTAGACTCATAATCCGTAGTATAGGTCGTAGGTTCGATTCCCACCATGCGTTAGATTTATTTATTTCTCAGGTTTGCGTTTAATCATTAATTCTATGTATGAATTAGTTGAAAAATGAAAATATACGATCATAGTATGCAGAAATTACATATTTTTTAATTTATTTATTTATTATTTGAGTTAGAATTTAATTTAGAAATTGAAGAATTAGTAAATAAATATGTTATTTATTCAATTCAAATTTTGATTTATTTGAATCAAAAAATTCTTACATTTTATGCAAATAAATTATGTATTTAGATCAAATAAAATAATAATTGCTGCAATTAAAGAGGTTTTAGTTTCAATTAAAACAATTACTTATGACAAATAATCGAATATTTGATTCAAGAAAATTTTTAGTTGTTTCAAGAAAAATATTTTATTAAAGCAAATAAATATTTATTTGAGTCAAAAAACATGCAGTATTGAATGAAATAATTTTCATAATTTATTCAAATAATTATTTATTCGCTTTGAATATTCCATTTAATTGATTTGAATAATTTGTATTTGATTCAAATAACCAGGGACTGTCTCGAAATATTTGTGTCGTGTCCGTGTAGTGTCGCGACTCGACACGTTTGAAAACAATTAAAAGTATCGTGGCGAGACCCGACACTTTTAAAACTTTTCAAACGTATCGTGGCACGACCCGACACAGTTAAGAAATTCATAATTGTATCGTGGCGAAGCACGATACGTTTAGAAATTTGTAATCGTATCGTGGCAGGACTAGACACGTTTACGAATTTCCAAAAGTATCGTGGCGCGACTAGACACAATAAAAATTTGAGAATCGTATCGTGGGGCTAAACTACACGACACAATACAAAAATAATTATGAATTTCGTGTCGCATACAATGAAACTTGTTGATCAACATCTTGACAGTTTATTAATCCTTCAATAACATTTCAAGAAATAAAATTAAAATAAAATAGATATAGATTGAATATATATCAAATGTAAATTATTAAATTTATATTATATTATATTATATTATATTATATTATATTATATTATATTATATTATATTATATTATATTATATTATATTATATTATATTATATTATATTATATTATATTATATTATATTATATTATATTATATTATATTATATTATATTATATTATATTATATTATATTATATTATATTATATTATATTATATTATATTATATTATATTATATTATATTATATTATATTATTTCCACGAATTTCTGTTTTCATCCTATACTGTTTATTTTCATGTATTTCTTTTTGTATTATCAACAACTTATTGTCTAGTATGTAAACAAACCACACTTAAAATTAAAAATAATTTTGTTCAACAAAATTAATAGATTAATTTAATTTATTAACATTTTAATATTATTATGATTTAAAGAATTGAAAAAAATGTAAGACTTGATTACGAATTCAATATCAGTTTTTTAAAATTCAAAATGGCGGATCCAATATACCGAATCAAAATAACTAAAAATGGGCAAATTCGTCTAAACCATGTTACCCAGGGGTTTTCGGGGTCGCTGATTACGAATCTGACATCAGTTTTTCAAAGTTCAAAATGGCGGATTCAATATGGCGGAAGACAAAATAAAAAATTAATCGGATTGTATTAAAAACCTATTACTCGGGGGTTTTCAGGGTCATTGATTACGAATTGTGACAAAAGTTTTTCAAAATTCAAAATGTCCCAAAAAACGCTCGAGTAACAAGTTTCAAAAGATCCGATCCTTTTTAAAAAATTGTTCAGCATATTAGATCCGCCATTTTGAATATTAAAAATAGGAAAAGAACTAGGCGCAATTGCGCCTACACATAGGGTTTCATGGCGCTTTAAATTTTAATGTCAACTACTGGGACATGTCAACTATAGGGACATGTCAACTATATGGACATGTCAACTATTGGGACATGTCAACTATTGGGACATGTCAATTACTGAGACAGGTCAACTACTGGGACATGTCAATTATAGGGGCATGTTTACTAATGGGACATGTAATGTCCATTCATGTAATGTCCATTCGGGAAAATGTCCATTCAGTAAATGGAGATTTGGGATCTGTGGGCCCCAACATTTGAATTTGGGAGCTATGGTGCCCCAAAATTTGAATTTGGGATCTGTGGTGCCCCAAAATTCGAATTTGGAAGCTATGTTTGCCCAAAATTTGAATTTGGGATCTGTGGTGCCCCAAAAGTTTAATTTGGGATCTGTGGGGCCCCAAAATTTGAATTTGGGATCTGTGGTGCCCCAAAAGTATAATTTGGGATCTGTGGTGCCCCAAAAGTTTAATTTGGGATCTGTGGTGCCCCAAAATTTTAATTTGGGATCTGTGCCCTAAAATTTGATTTTGGGAGCTGTGGTGCCCCAAAATATACGACGGACAGACGGACGCCAAAGTGAAACTATAAGGCTTTCGGACATGGGCCACGAAACCCTAAAAAACTGATGTTACATTTGTAATCAGCGACCCTGAAAACCCCTCAGTAACCGGTTTCAATCCAATCCGATTAATTTTTTATTTTGTTGTCCGCCATATTGGATCCGCTATTTTGAATTTTAAAAAACTTTTGTCACAATTCGTAATCAATGACCCTGAAAACCCCCGAGTAATAGGTTTTTAATACAATCCGATTAATTTTTTATTTTGTCTTCCGCCATATTGAATCCGCCATTTTGAACTTTGAAAAACTGATGTCAGATTCGTAATCAGCGACCCCGAAAACCCCTGGGTAACATGGTTAAGACGAATTTGCCCATTTTTAGTTATTTTGATTCGGTATATTGGATCCGCCATTTTGAATTTTAAAAAACTGATATTGAATTCGTAATCAAGTCTTACATTTTTTTCAGTTCTTTAAATCATAATAATATTAAAATGTTAATAAATTAAATTAATCTATTAATTTTATTGAACAAAATTATTTTTAATTTTAAGTGTGGTTTGTTTACATACTAGACAATAAGTTGTTGATAATACAAAAAGAAATACATGAAAATAAACAGTATAGGATGAAAACAGAAATTCGTGGAAATAATATAATATAATATAATATAATATAAAAGTTATATATTATTGTATATTATTTTGTATGCATATTATTATTAGTATTATTATTATTCCATATATACTATATTATAATAGATAATACATAATAGATAAGTTTAAATTAATTGAACAATTTTTTTTCATGCGACACGACATATTTATACAGAATTATCGTGTCGTGGCAAGTCATGATACGATACGATTCTCAAATTGTTAATGTGTCTAGTCGCGCCACGATACTTTTGGAAATTCGTAAACGTGTCCAGTCCTACCACGATACGATTACAAATTTCTAAACGTATCGTGCTTGGCCACGATACAATTATGAATTTCTTAACTGTGTCGGGTCGTGCCACGATACGTTTGAAAAGTTTTAAAAGTGTCGGGTCTCGCCACGATACTTTTAATTGTTTTCAAACGTGTCGAGTCGCGACAATACACGGACACTTTCTTAAAATTCAACAACGTTTCGTGTCCGAGACAGTCCCTGAAATAACTATTTATTTGATACGATAAAATAAAATACTTAGGTTGAGTAAATGTGTATTTGGTTCAAATACATATTTATTGGATAATAGACAAGTAAATGATGTATTTGGATCAAATACTTTTTATTTGATGTAAATAAATTTTTTTTCAGTGTAGCAATATTTGATAAATCTGATAGGAAATTTTAGTATTCTCTTTTTCAAACGCGGAACATTTAAGTTTGATAACGAAAATCGGTATATTTTTACGAATAGTCTTTTTAGTAAATATATTCCAGAAATTGAAATTATTATTTCGTAAATTGATAAATTTATACGAAAAACCAGAAGTAAGTTAATCCGACGCGCACTTCGTTATTTACTAAATTTATATGAAAATTTGGAAAGATTATTTCGAAATTTGTTAAAACTATACTAAAAATTCGAAGTGGTTCAGTCGTGACAGAAGACGACAGACACACCAATAGATTCTACGCCAAAGTTTTATCTCTTTCTCATCTCGATAATGGATTTTGGTTGGGTATATTTTTGGAGAATTTTTGGCGGTATTTTTAAGAAAAAAGCCGAACACCATAGGGTGAAAAATAACACTTTTATTTTTCATCACCTATAGGGGTGGCTTTTAGGGGTGCGAGCGCCGCATGTGGATAATGGATTTTGGTTGGGTATATTTTTAGAGAATTTTTGGCGGTATTTTTAAGAAAAAAGCCGAACACCAAAGGGTGAAAAATGACACTTTTATTTTCACCATCTATAGGGGTGGCTTTTAGGGGTGCGAGCGCCGCATGTGGATAATGAATTTTGGTTAGGTATATTTTTAGAGAATTTTTGGCGGTATTTTTAAGAAAAAAGCCGAACACCAAAGGGTGAAAAATGACACTTTTATTTTAATCATCTATAGGGGTGGCTTTTAGGGGTGCGAGCGCCGCATGTGGATAATGGATTTTAGTTGGGTATATTTTTAGAGAATTTTTGGCGGTATTTTTAAGAAAAAAGCCGAACACCAAAGGGTGAAAAATGACACTTTTATTTTAATCATCTATAGGGGTGGCTTTTAGGGGTGCGAGCGCCGCATGTGGATAATGGATTTTGGTTGGGTATATTTTTAGAGAATTTTTGGCGGTATTTTTATGAAAAAAGCCGAACACCAAACGTGGAAAAATGACACTTTTATTTTCACCATCTATAGGGGTGGCTTTTAGGGGTGAGAGCGCCGCATGTGGATAATGGATTTTGGTTGGGTATATTTTTAGAGAATTTTTGGCGGTATTTTTAAGAAAAAAGCCGAACACCAAAGGGTGAAAAATGACACTTTTATTTTAATCATCTATAGGGGTGGCTTTTAGGGGTGCGAGCGCCGCATGTGGATAATGGATTTTAGTTGGGTATATTTTTAGAGAATTTTTGGCGGTATTTTTAAGAAAAAAGCCGAACACCAAAGGGTGAAAAATGACACTTTTATTTTTCACCTTCTATAGGGGTGGCTTTTAGGGGTGCGAGCGCCGCATGTGGATAATGGATTTTGGTTGGGTATATTTTTAGAGAATTTTTGGCGGTATTTTTATGAAAAAAGCCGAACACCAAAGGGTGAAAAATGACACTTTATTTTAATCATCTATAGGGGTGGCTTTTAGGGGTGCGAGCGCCGCATGTGGATAATGGATTTTGGTTGGGTATATTTTTAGAGAATTTTTGGCGGTATTTTTAAGAAAAAAGCCGAACACCAAAGGGTGAAAAATGACACTTTTATTTTAATCATCTATAGGGGTGGCTTTTAGGGGTGCGAGCGCCGCATGTGGATAATGGATTTTAGTTGGGTATATTTTTAGAGAATTTTTGGCGGTATTTTTAAGAAAAAAGCCGAACACCAAAGGGTGAAAAATGACACTTTTATTTTTCACCTTCTATAGGGGTGGCTTTTAGGGGTGCGAGCGCCGCATGTGGATAATGGATTTTGGTTGGGTATATTTTTAGAGAATTTTTGGCGGTATTTTTATGAAAAAAGCCGAACACCAAAGGGTGAAAAATGACACTTTATTTTAATCATCTATAGGGGTGGCTTTTAGGGGTGCGAGCGCCGCATGTGGATAATGGATTTTGGTTAGGTATATTTTTAGAGAATTTTTGGCGGTATTTTTAAGAAAAAAGCCGAACACCAAAGGGTGAAAAATGACACTTTTATTTTTTACCTTCTATAGGGGTGGCTTTTAGGGGTGCGAGCGCCGCATGTGGATAATGGATTTTGGTTGGGTATATTTTTAGAGAATTTTTGGCGGTATTTTTAAGAAAAAAGCCGAACACCAAAGGGTGAAAAATGACACTTTTATTTTCACCATCTATAGGGGTGGCTTTTAGGGGTGCGAGCGCCGCATGTGGATAATGGATTTTGGTTGGGTATATTTTTAGAGAATTTTTGGCGGTATTTTTAAGAAAAAAGCCGAACACCAAAGGGTGAAAAATGACACTTTTATTTTCACCATCTATAGGGGTGGCTTTTAGGGGTGCGAGCGCCGCATGTGGATAATAGATTTTGGTTGGGTATATTTTTAGAGAATTTTTGGCGGTATTTTTATGAAAAAAGCCGAACACCAAACGTGGAAAAATGACACTTTTATTTTCACCATCTATAGGGGTGGCTTTTAGGGGTGCGAGCGCCGCATGTGGATAATGGATTTTGGTTGAGTATATTTTTAGAGAATTTTTGGCGGTATTTTTAAGAAAAAAGCCGAACACCAAAGGACGAAAAATGACACTTTTATTTTAATCATCTATAGGGGTGGCTTTTAGGGGTGCGAGCGCCGCATGTGGATAATGGATTTTGGTTAGGTATATTTTTAGAGAATTTTTGGCGGTATTTTTAAGAAAAAAGCCGAACACCAAAGGGTGAAAAATGACACTTTTATTTTTCACCATCTATAGGGGTGGCTTTTAGGGGTGCGAGCGCCGCATGTGGATAATGGATTTTGGTTAGGTATATTTTTAGAGAATTTTTGGCGGTATTTTTAAGAAAAAAGCCGAACACCAAAGGGTGAAAAATGACACTTTTATTTTAATCATCTATAGGGGTGGCTTTTAGGGGTGCGAGCGCCGCATGTGGATAATGGATTTTGGTTGGGTATATTTTTAGAGAATTTTTGGCGGTATTTTTAAGAAAAAAGCCGAACACCAAAGGGTGAAAAATGACACTTTTATTTTAATCATCTATAGGGGTGGCTTTTAGGGGTGCGAGCGCCGCATGTGGATAATGGATTTTAGTTGGGTATATTTTTAGAGAATTTTTGGCGGTATTTTTAAGAAAAAAGCCGAACACCAAAGGGTGAAAAATGACACTTTTATTTTTCACCTTCTATAGGGGTGGCTTTTAGGGGTGCGAGCGCCGCATGTGGATAATGGATTTTGGTTGGGTATATTTTTAGAGAATTTTTGGCGGTATTTTTATGAAAAAAGCCGAACACCAAAGGGTGAAAAATGACACTTTATTTTAATCATCTATAGGGGTGGCTTTTAGGGGTGCGAGCGCCGCATGTGGATAATGGATTTTGGTTGGGTATATTTTTAGAGAATTTTTGGCGGTATTTTTAAGAAAAAAGCCGAACACCAAAGGGTGAAAAATGACACTTTTATTTTCACCATCTATAGGGGTGGCTTTTAGGGGTGCGAGCGCCGCATGTGGATAATGGATTTTGGTTGGGTATATTTTTAGAGAATTTTTGGCGGTATTTTTAAGAAAAAAGCCGAACACCAAAGGGTGAAAAATGACACTTTTATTTTAATCATCTATAGGGGTGGCTTTTAGGGGTGCGAGCGCCGCATGTGGATAATGGATTTTGGTTGGGTATATTTTTAGAGAATTTTTGGCGGTATTTTTAAGAAAAAAGCCGAACACCAAAGGGTGAAAAATGACACTTTTATTTTTCACCTTCTATAGGGGTGGCTTTTAGGGGTGCGAGCGCCGCATGTGGATAATGGATTTTGGTTAGGTATATTTTTAGAGAATTTTTGGCGGTATTTTTAAGAAAAAAGCCGAACACCAAAGGGTGAAAAATGACACTTTTATTTTCACCATCTATAGGGGTGGCTTTTAGGGGTGCGAGCGCCGCATGTGGATAATAGATTTTGGTTGGGTATATTTTTAGAGAATTTTTGGCGGTATTTTTATGAAAAAAGCCGAACACCAAACCTGGAAAAATGACACTTTTATTTTCACCATCTATAGGGGTGGCTTTTAGGGGTGCGAGCGCCGCATGTGGATAATGGATTTTGGTTGGGTATATTTTTAGAGAATTTTTGGCGGTATTTTTAAGAAAAAAGCCGAACACCAAAGGGTGAAAAATGACACTTTTATTTTAATCATCTATAGGGGTGGCTTTTAGGGGTGCGAGCGCCGCATGTGGATAATGGATTTTAGTTGGGTATATTTTTAGAGAATTTTTGGCGGTATTTTTAAGAAAAAAGCCGAACACCAAAGGGTGAAAAATGACACTTTTATTTTTCACCTTCTATAGGGGTGGCTTTTAGGGGTGCGAGCGCCGCATGTGGATAATGGATTTTGGTTGGGTATATTTTTAGAGAATTTTTGGCGGTATTTTTAAGAAAAAAGCCGAACACCAAAGGGTGAAAAATGACACTTTTATTTTCACCATCTATAGGGGTGGCTTTTAGGGGTGCGAGCGCCGCATGTGGATAATGGATTTTGGTTGGGTATATTTTTAGAGAATTTTTGGCGGTATTTTTATGAATAAAGCCGAACACCAAACGTGGAAAAATGACACTTTTATTTTCACCATCTATAGGGGTGGCTTTTAGGGGTGAGAGCGCCGCATGTGGATAATGGATTTTGGTTGGGTATATTTTTAGAGAATTTTTGGCGGTATTTTTAAGAAAAAAGCCGAACACCAAAGGGTGAAAAATGACACTTTTATTTTAATCATCTATAGGGGTGGCTTTTAGGGGTGCGAGCGCCGCATGTGGATAATGGATTTTAGTTGGGTATATTTTTAGAGAATTTTTGGCGGTATTTTTAAGAAAAAAGCCGAACACCAAAGGGTGAAAAATGACACTTTTATTTTTCACCTTCTATAGGGGTGGCTTTTAGGGGTGCGAGCGCCGCATGTGGATAATGGATTTTGGTTGGGTATATTTTTAGAGAATTTTTGGCGGTATTTTTAAGAAAAAAGCCGAACACCAAAGGGTGAAAAATGACACTTTTATTTTCACCATCTATAGGGGTGGCTTTTAGGGGTGCGAGCGCCGCATGTGGATAATGGATTTTGGTTGGGTATATTTTTAGAGAATTTTTGGCGGTATTTTTATGAAAAAAGCCGAACACCAAACGTGGAAAAATGACACTTTTATTTTCACCATCTATAGGGGTGGCTTTTAGGGGTGCGAGCGCCGCATGTGGATAATGGATTTTGGTTGGGTATATTTTTAGAGAATTTTTGGCGGTATTTTTAAGAAAAAAGCCGAACACCAAAGGGTGAAAAATGACACTTTTATTTTAATCATCTATAGGGGTGGCTTTTAGGGGTGCGAGCGCCGCATGTGGATAATGGATTTTAGTTGGGTATATTTTTAGAGAATTTTTGGCGGTATTTTTAAGAAAAAAGCCGAACACCAAAGGGTGAAAAATGACACTTTTATTTTTCACCTTCTATAGGGGTGGCTTTTAGGGGTGCGAGCGCCGCATGTGGATAATGGATTTTGGTTGGGTATATTTTTAGAGAATTTTTGGCGGTATTTTTATGAAAAAAGCCGAACACCAAAGGGTGAAAAATGACACTTTATTTTAATCATCTATAGGGGTGGCTTTTAGGGGTGCGAGCGCAGCATGTGGATAATGGATTTTGGTTGGGTATATTTTTAGAGAATTTTTGGCGGTATTTTTAAGAAAAAAGCCGAACACCAAAGGGTGAAAAATGACACTTTATTTTAATCATCTATAGGGGTGGCTTTTAGGGGTGCGAGCGCAGCATGTGGATAATGGATTTTGGTTGGGTATATTTTTAGAGAATTTTTGGCGGTATTTTTAAGAAAAAAGCCGAACACCAAAGGGTGAAAAATGACACTTTTATTTTCACCATCTATAGGGGTGGCTTTTAGGGGTGCGAGCGCCGCATGTGGATAATGGATTTTGGTTGGGTATATTTTTAGAGAATTTTTGGCGGTATTTTTATGAAAAAAGCCGAACACCAAACGTGGAAAAATGACACTTTTATTTTCACCATCTATAGGGGTGGCTTTTAGGGGTGCGAGCGCCGCATGTGGATAATGGATTTTGGTTGGGTATATTTTTAGAGAATTTTTGGCGGTATTTTTAAGAAAAAAGCCGAACACCAAAGGGTGAAAAATGACACTTTTATTTTCACCATCTATAGGGGTGGCTTTTAGGGGTGCGAGCGCCGCATGTGGATAATGGATTTTGGTTGGGTATATTTTTAGAGAATTTTTGGCGGTATTTTTATGAAAAAAGCCGAACACCAAACGTGGAAAAATGACACTTTTATTTTCACCATCTATAGGGGTGGCTTTTAGGGGTGCGAGCGCCGCATGTGGATAATGGATTTTGGTTGGGTATATTTTTAGAGAATTTTTGGCGGTATTTTTAAGAAAAAAGCCGAACACCAAAGGGTGAAAAATGACACTTTTATTTTAATCATCTATAGGGGTGGCTTTTAGGGGTGCGAGCGCCGCATGTGGATAATGGATTTTAGTTGGGTATATTTTTAGAGAATTTTTGGCGGTATTTTTAAGAAAAAAGCCGAACACCAAAGGGTGAAAAATGACACTTTTATTTTTCACCTTCTATAGGGGTGGCTTTTAGGGGTGCGAGCGCCGCATGTGGATAATGGATTTTGGTTGGGTATATTTTTAGAGAATTTTTGGCGGTATTTTTATGAAAAAAGCCGAACACCAAAGGGTGAAAAATGACACTTTATTTTAATCATCTATAGGGGTGGCTTTTAGGGGTGCGAGCGCAGCATGTGGATAATGGATTTTGGTTGGGTATATTTTTAGAGAATTTTTGGCGGTATTTTTAAGAAAAAAGCCGAACACCAAAGGGTGAAAAATGACACTTTTATTTTCACCATCTATAGGGGTGGCTTTTAGGGGTGCGAGCGCCGCATGTGGATAATGGATTTTGGTTGGGTATATTTTTAGAGAATTTTTGGCGGTATTTTTATGAATAAAGCCGAACACCAAACGTGGAAAAATGACACTTTTATTTTCACCATCTATAGGGGTGGCTTTTAGGGGTGAGAGCGCCGCATGTGGATAATGGATTTTGGTTGGGTATATTTTTAGAGAATGTTTGGCGGTATTTTTAAGAAAAAAGCCGAACACCAAAGGGTGAAAAATGACACTTTTATTTTAATCATCTATAGGGGTGGCTTTTAGGGGTGCGAGCGCCGCATGTGGATAATGGATTTTAGTTGGGTATATTTTTAGAGAATTTTTGGCGGTATTTTTAAGAAAAAAGCCGAACACCAAAGGGTGAAAAATGACACTTTTATTTTTCACCTTCTATAGGGGTGGCTTTTAGGGGTGCGAGCGCCGCATGTGGATAATGGATTTTGGTTGGGTATATTTTTAGAGAATTTTTGGCGGTATTTTTAAGAAAAAAGCCGAACACCAAAGGGTGAAAAATGACACTTTTATTTTAATCATCTATAGGGGTGGCTTTTAGGGGTGCGAGCGCCGCATGTGGATAATGGATTTTGGTTGGGTATATTTTTAGAGAATTTTTGGCGGTATTTTTAAGAAAAAAGCCGAACACCAAATTGTTGTACCCAACCAAAAATTTCAGTATTATACCAGAGTTAACTACTGGCGCAGTACTGGTTCAGTATTGGCTACCGAGGCTGGGCAGTCTGTACTGATCCAGTACTGGTATTTTCATTGTATCAGTACTGGTACAGTACCACCCTTCCAGTACTGGCAAATCAGTACTGAGCCGATATTGAGCCAGTACTGGCTCAAATATATTTTCTTTTTGATTAATACTATAGTTTACAAAAAGTTCTAAAGTGAACCTGATAAACCTTTTTGTTTAAATATTTTGTTCATAAAAATTCAAAAAAATTTTCTTGACAACACTTGTTAAATATTAAAAAACAACTTTTATTTTCTTAAAAAAATTTTTCAAAAATTTATTTTGATGCAAATAATTAAAGTGAATAATAAAATAATTAAATAGCTAATTGTATAATTATTTTATAAACATTTTTATTTTTACTGAACTGTTTTTATATATTATAAAAACTTTGGTTTAATAATAAATATATTTTTATATTTATTTTTTGATTTTTTTAAATAATGATTTGCAATATATTTTATATTTAATAAAAAATAAAAACTGTTGGTGTTTTCGATTTTATATATAATAAAATATTAATTACCCGTGCAGAAATTTCCACCCTTCTTCCCGATTTCCGACCTGGCCCCGGCCAGATTATCTGGTCCGGCCCCGGGTCAGTAAATGTTAGTGGCCCCGGTCGTGGCCAGGCCGGGTTGCCCCAATAATAAAATAAGTAAAAATAAATTTTTATAGAGGAGTGCAGAACTCAAGAAGGCTATAGAAACAGGAAGTACACGTTAGGTAGTGGGGGTACGTGACAATTTGGTTTTCTGAAATGGGCGGATAAGTTGCAAGACGCAGTAGCCTCCTGCGCATATTACGAACAGGTGATAATAAAAAAGCAGATATTTATTTTACCGAAGCATATACGTACGTATAGAATCAGTGTTAATATTTTATTCTGAATTACCGCCAGATGGTAAGTCAACAGTTAGTCTGCGCAGAAGGCTACCGCGACTTGCAACTTATTCTATTGCTCTGCCTATTTCAGAAAAACCTTTTTCTTACGTATTCGTACGGTACCTCCCATTTCTAGTCTTCTTGGCCTAACTTTTGTTTTATTTTGGATACATAAATTATTTATTTCTGTGAATAATATGCCAAAACACAAAAGTACGAAACGTGTACGGAAACATCGACTGTCAACCCAATTTTCATCTCTGCCGATGAGCCAAAAGTTTTGAACGTTCAAATGAACAAAAATTTTTTTTCAATCTATAAATTATTAAAAATTATAATGTCAATGTAAAATAAAACAGTAAATTAAACTAATATTAAATTAATATTTTCTTTTTAGATATTTAAAACAATATTTTGTAATAAAATTCATATTTAAAGAAGTTACAAAAAAAATTTTGTTCATTTGAACGTTCAAAACTTTTGGTTGATCTCTGCCGAATATATCAAGTCGTAAGTAAAAAATATTATTCACATGATATTACATTACCAAATAAAAAATAACCTAAAAATAGAGATTTTGTATTCTAACTTTATAAATATTGTTTTTATTTTTATAGTTTTACAAATGTTCTAGTAGTATTCCTTTGAAAAAATCCCGAATTGAAGTTAAAAATTCTTTTATTACATCTGACTTCTTATATATTCTTTCATATTTGTTATAATAATAATATGTATAAGTATGAATTTATCACTCGATCGAAATTAGTTTTATAAGAATGATCTTTCTTTCTTATATAATAATAATGATAACAACTATTTTCATGTATGTTAAATATAATTCTATGCCTTATAGCTTCAGATGATTCAAATCATGAAGATGCGAATGTAAATGAGAATATCAGCTCACAACTAGGAGAACAATATGATTCGCTTAGTTCCCATATGGAAGATTGTCTCACACCAGGCGACATTGATTCAAACTA